GTCTGCCTATGCGACCCAAAAGAATAGCATTGATCGAAACTGACTGACTGCCTTCATTGTAATTTTTAATCGTACCGAATGAAAGCGCTTGAACTGCGAGGCATATTATTCTTGTAAGGTAAATCTGTCCTTAGAGCTGTCCCCTCTGTAAACTAAACGTGCTTTTGAATAAGGCTTAACATGGTACCCATCGTTTCGCGAAAGGGAGCTTGATACCTCAGATTTCTGAAGGAGAACAGCAGTTTCTGATTCATTCAAGTAGGAACTTTTTTGGTAATTTGTGTTCGGTATGTTAGCCTCTGTTAGATTAACCATATTTAGACAGTTCTTTACATAAGCATTCTACTAGTTTTATTTTATATTTATTTTACCACTTCCAGCATCTGGAATTTCAGGTACGTATCCAACATTTCGAAGGTGAATTTTCTCGATTCATACCAAAAACAAATTTTGAAGCAGTGCAAGTTGGTTACAATGTTTCTGATCTCGCTCTTGTGGCTTCCTTAAGCATCGGACGAACAGCTGGAATAAAACAGTCCTACGATCTTGCCTCCTACCTCCATTTGTTATCTAGTTCAAGATCATTTATGTAGGCAGAAATGGTGACCACCTCTGGCGACTGCTTGACCATGATCTGCACCATTTTATTGAACATGAAGGCAAAATTAAGCGTGGATGGTGAACTTTACGTGCAACAAACCTGACCGTCGTCGACCTGACCATCGGGCAGGCTCTTGACCATGCGGAGAATCGGCGGATAAAACTTTGCCAGCGACAAATAGAATGTACAACTGCAACCATCGGATGTTCTCCAGTGGTTCACTGGGTCAGTTGAATCAGTGGCACTGTTGAGGTGGATGTCACTCATAGATTCGGCCAATACGGTCATCGCCCTGTTAATAATGACATCCAAGTGGGTGCGGATCTTAGAGCGGCTCCCCAGAGTCAAAGGTTGGACACAGTTTGCTACCGTCTGCGCTTTTTGCTGCTTTTACTATTCTTCTCCTTTTCATAGGCACTTCACCTTCACTACAGAGCTGTGTATGTCTTTTTGGCCATTATTTTTTTGCCTTAATTCCGAGCAATCTTTGGCGAATTGTTTCTCAGTATACCTGTGATCATCCAAGTTCCTTCACTTTGAATACTTATCTGACGTTTCACGTGACACGTGATGAAACAGCATATAATAAGCATCGCATGACACGATGATGCGAATTCTACATGAGAACCAGTCGATGCATCGCCATGTTGCCCGATGACCCGCTGGTGTTTATTGTACAGCGATTCGATCTGGCTACTTTCAAATCATTTCGCTCGAATATTTACCCTAGTGATTTAATGAATTCCAGTAGTACCTTTGCTCACGCCAAATGTGTTCAATTTTGCGTTTCTGGCCACTCAGTTTCCGTCTCTTTCAAACTCTTCGAGCTAACGACAAAGATCTGAACTGAGCTGAAAAACAACTCTGGTTCTTTTGCCTTATTTCCTTGAGCAGTGAATCGGCCATAGTATATTTTCACCCTCATAAACTCAAAAGGCCTGACTGCATTGAACCAGTGGGAAAGATATTTCAAATCACCTCTTACTAACAACTTCAGGAGTGCAACTTCCCACTCTGAAGAATTTCAAACTCTCTTTAGTACGTTCTCAACGACACAACAAAACTAATCATCAAAGTTTCGAGAATAAAGGAATGGTGTGACACAATTACAACTCCCAGATAGCCATGCCTTGCAGTAGTAATCATTGTTGACAGTTGTAGCAAATTTTACGAATTCGATTTTTATTGTCTTGGTCATATTTCTGGTTTTTTGAAATCTCATTTGTCTAAAGTTTAGTTTCACTTCGCCTGGCATTGTCCATAGACCTTTTGCTTATGTTTAAAAACGCAGTCTCAGCATTCAGAGAGTATAAGCATTTCCAATTTGTCGTTCATTGAAATCCTCCATGTTATGGTATTACTGCTTTAACAAAACCACTCATTTAAATCTTTTTGATTAGTAGTGTGCCAGTTGTTTTAACAACCGAAAGGTCTGCCTGAAATGGCATTCAAAATACAATATGCTTGGATTAGAGGCAAGCTATGTACACCTTGAGACAACCAAATAATCACGATACCGTTTAATGAGGCGTTCGGTTTCCTAAGCGTGTTATTCCTTCGTCTTTTATTTTATTTTTACTTCATAGATTTCCAACAGGCTTAAACATAGTACCTACTACTGTGCTTAAAATTAGAATATAGTCTTCGTCAGATAAGTTCATCTCCATTTGATCGCAACGCTGTATAAGTGGATACGGCCTCTAGGTTCTTGTAACGAGCGCTATGTGCTTGAAGAAACCACTCAGTAATCCGCATATTAAAGCCAAAGATCCCGGAGATACAAGGTCGAGGCAGATCTGCTTTCTGAAAGGAATATTTTCTTCTGCAATGCATTAACCAAAGCCATTATCAAAAGTATTATAAAGTTGGCGAACACAGTAAACACCAATGATTATGCAAACGGCCCTAGGTGATGATCCCACAAGCATACAGACATGACCTTCAAGAACCGAGCGATCAATGCGATCAACTGTCGACGGTTCTAAGCCCTTTGCGTAAAGTGTACTATCTTGTGCCAAGAAGCATGGTTGACTTCGAAAATCGCTTATTCAATGATTGGAATGTGTAGAACTATTTAGAGTCGAATGAAGGCTACACGAGGTAACTCATAATAAGGGCATGTTCATGGAAGATCAGTAATTGGTGCAAAGGCACAGCTGTTGCTTCATCTCGAAAACGATAATGCGGACTGTTTTGTCATTTGCTAACAAAATCCGTCGCTGCCTATGTTATGAGCCATTGTTGGAAACATTTTTTCACTAACGCTTTTCGTTGATTTGCATATGAGCCTACTGTCAGATGGACATATCCGTAGGAACTTCGAGTAGTGTGTTCTGCTAAATTAAAACTCTACGTGCAGATTGAGACTGCTTGAATACACGTGCTCATCTTTGACGTTTAAACCTTCGACCATTCGTAATTATTGTAACGAGACACAATTTCGCCATAATTTAACTTTCGACAAAAGTAGGCAACTTTTTGCCCCTCTCATTTTCTTCAGCAATTAAGGCAAACTAGTTAGCAGTTTTTTGACTCAGTATTTAAGGTCAATTTACACGGCAGTTCACGATTAATTGAATTATACATCATTTTCGAAGTAGTCGTATCGATTGCGAGACGCAAGAGCTGCGTCAGAATTAACGAAGGAGAAGACGTGCCTCTTGACTTCATTCAGGAAACAATAACCGAGTCTCACTGATCACCGCAGTTCAATAGTGCCATCACGAAGAATGTGAACTGACGTTGACTTCCTCTAAGCAAGAGCTGCAAATGGATATTTACTAAGCTGTACCGCCACCAATTCGCAGAAGACACCTAATTTAATTTTCTTAGCAGAACTGGCAGAATTGGTTTTCCCTGGAACATTTAAGTTTAGGCTTGCTCTTCATTTACATGAAATACTTTTGAAACGAATTTCTCATGAACAGCTGGAATAAGAACGAAGGGATTCACAGGGTTAACATTTTTTGCAGCCCTAAAATTAATTAAGCTTCGATGACTCGTCAGGGCCAAATGCTTGGAGGCTCGAGTTGGCCATCTTGCCATGGTGACGCCTAATTTGACGTACTGAGGCGTACAAACAATTACGAAGCTGCAGTAATGTCATGAGTAATTTGTGGTTTCTAAGAAAATGAAGGAATCTAGGTAATTACAATCATTTCAGATGTGGGACAGCTACATGCTGCAAGAGCAAGCATTTTCGAAACGTAGAAAATTAGCATGCCTTATTCAGAAGTTGGGGCTTTAGTTACAGCATGCAAGCAAAGATTATCTTCGCAAACCAATACCTGCAATTTCTTCAGGGAGAGGCTAGCGTGGCGAAAAATGTCTTTTCTTTAATTAGATGTTTCAGTTTCGATGAAAGAAACCAGCAGGCAACATATGCTTGAAAATGTTATGAACACATACACACACGAAAATGGGTTTTCACCTGTTTCAGCACTAAATTGGAGAATACATTTCTTTCTACCATGTTCATGAGTAGTCCCACTGTTGCAGTAACGGATTCGTTTAAAGGAACATTGGACATTGTGACAGTTCTTTGACATATTGGCAGTTTCTGGCATGGTCAGGATCACTGAATCTATAATCATCAGTAACTGTGACGCTGGGGAAGTCTTATTTTCCGGATCCAATCAATGACAAAGTTGAACAGAACAGTGCACAGAACACAGCCTTGAGAAATGCTAGAAGTAATGTCAAAAAGGTCTCCGTTAGCTCAGCGGAGGGTGAGACGTTTGCTCGTATCCTACACTACTGTCCCATAATTAGGTACACAAACCTTTGCGAAACAGCGTCCATTTCAATTATGCTCAACAGAAATTCTCGAACGAATGAATCGAACCGAACGCTGCCAACCAATCTATGAAGCGTACCACGGCGGGCTATTGGAAAGATTAGCGGTATCCCGACGTGAAATATACAGCAAAGGTTTGATCGCTGCTCCTTCTTCCAGTGCGAAAGTCAGCGTCACGGATGACCTGAAGCTTCAGCAGCAACAATGTAGCGAAGATCTTTTCAGTCGCGTCAATTAAACTCACTCTGCGGCTGTTGTTCCGATAGAGGATCATATTATCCGTTTACCCATTGGAGGGTTTATCCCTTTCA